AGCTTGTTCATTCATTGACGAACCTTCGCTAGAAGTCCTGAAGCCCGATCTTTTCAGACCGAGGCGAGCTGCATCCACGTCGGTACTATCTGGCTGAGCCTTATGGCACCATCGCGGACCCTCTGGACAAGCCCTACTTCATCCTAATATGAACAGCGCGCCACCATCTTTTGCCAATGAAGCCAGCTTTCTTTGGGGACGGCTAAAAGTGGAGTTCACTTAGTGATTATTGTCTCTCACAATAGTGTTGCGATTGCAGTATCTTCTATCTTAAGGTACACAATACAATATTGAATATATTGGAAATATAGATACAGGTACTTGTCTTGCGAGATGTATCGCAATACAGATACAAAATGCCCAAAGAGTATCTGATATAGTATCTGAGATACATGTATCTTCGATACTGCCCAGCCCTCAGCAGCAGAATGAAATACTCTCATCCCGAGTAATCTGTGATTACATTTAAAGAAAGGGAAAAAATAAAAACAAAATGCGAAATTACCCTGTGAAAAGAGTGATACATTTTATATTCAAGGTGTTTCAGTTTCATTAATCATTGATAATGTGCATGGCCAGAGTGCACATACTTCCACATCAATGCCCTTGTTCTTCACCATGCCTCGCGTGTCACAATCTTGAATTTGTCCATGTGTGTTGTTGCTGCTTGCTTGTTTGTCTTTTTATGTTGCAAGAACAATAAGTGATAAATTGTAACAGAGCAGTGTCTTAACTGCCTCTTTCTATAGCTGCAGAAATTAACATGAGCCACGAGGTGGCCAGCATGGCTGTCAGTGTGGCTATGTTGAACTAATGCATTTTTACTTTCAAAAATTTTAGATTTTTTTTCTGTGCATCAGATGTATTTCATGATATTGTCACGCGACAGGAATTCGCCGGAGCCACGAAGACAAGGAGGAAGAAGTGGTCATGAGGAGTGGGAAGTTGTGGGGCTGAACGTCCTGTCTTTTGCTCTGCACAAAGCATCTCTAACCTTTTTCATGCTGTAAATAAGCCCACCGCATCATTACAGTTTTGGTGGAGCTGGGAAACTAGCTCGTGTGACGGATGGAAGCAAAGGACAGGACGGTCAGCCCCACAACTTCTCTCTCCTCATGACCACTTCTTCCTCCTTGTCTTCGTGGCTCCAGCGAATTCCTGCCGCATGACAATATTTTCTGCATAAGCCACTTGAAAAAAAAGCCCTGCAACATTTTTTCAAGTAGCAATGGAATGTGTTCACTAAAGAAGCTTATTGCATCACGAATTTACTGCAGCAAGATTTTTCAGAATTTGTCCGGTACAAGCGGAGTTGCAAAGATTTCTCACACGCTGCAATTGTATTTTCCCTTATCTTGTCCTGATGAAACCGGATGATGTCCAGAAGATGCCGTCCTGAAATGTTACCTGCACCGTCCTCCCTTGCCCTTCTTGGTGCACTGGAATTTTTGCCCTATAGGTACTAATTCCTTTAGTGGGTACTCTTGAACGGCTTCTGAATAAGCTCACTCTTACCACCTGCTTTACCCAAGGGCAAATCCTACTGTTGGAACTTGTTTGCTTGGCAGAAATTTTTAACAGGAAAAGAAGCTTCACTCGTTACACAAATAAAGCTACAGCATTGCAAGATTACTATGATGTTATGTACACAGACCTCCCACATACAACTCACTAAAATGTCACCAATTACCTCTATGGTGAGCCTGATTATGCCTTAAGACAGCATGTAAGTTTCTTGATCCTATACTTTTTAATCAGTATAAACCTTGAAAAAACAAGATCGTCACGTGCAGTGCATAAAACCAGTGCTTATGAAGTGCAATGATGCCATCGGAAGCATCAGCAAAAGTAAATTCACCCTGCTGGAAAGCAAATTGTGCGTGAAGCCTGTAATTGTACTGTTAACAAAGTCTTCTCAACAACTTCATTACTTCTACTTCTGCAATTTTCATAATCTGTCTCTTCATACCTTGCTGTCAACCCAAAAATTATTGACCTATGAGGTGTTACTCATATGACCATGCTCATTTAAC